TCACTTATTTTTTAAATCTCTGACATTCTATAAATACAAACTTGTGGGTGACTTCCTTAAAAGTGTTGCCTGGGCACCAACACATCAGCTTTAGCTTCCACCACATATTTTTACAAAATCACTCTAGTGTAGATGAACTACATCCTCCTAGGAAAGTTCTCTTTTGTGGATTGTGAAATTCTTCAGGGAAGAGACTACATCTTTTATATCTATAGCCCCAAGGCCCAGCACAGTACCACAACACACAATACGTATTGCAGAATAAATGACTTAATTGAATAAAATAAATTACTGATTACCTTTCACTTGTCTCTTTCTATCCTTCTATCCCCTTCCTCAGGGAAACTGAAGAAAACATTTATGATTCATCCATATATTGAATATTATTGTGAACTCCTAAAGGAGCTAACTGAGGCAAAATGGAATCACTAAGAGACAGACATTTGTTTTCTGATTAAATTGATTTGGTCCAGTGATAATTATTCAAAAGATTTTAAAAAGCTACCTAAACAGAAGCAGTTTCTAAACTAAATAAATATATTTTTTGTAGGTACCATTTTGAAACAAAACCTGTCCCATTTCATAAAGATAAAGGAATTTGGAATCTTAAAGCAGTAAGCATATTCACTATAAGGAAAATGCAGTCTCCAGGACATAGCAAGCATAAAGATTTTTTAAATAAACACCTTATCAAATCATTTTTAAATGATCTCTTTTTAAAAACTCTTCAAAAACGTCTCATTGTTCTTAGTATAAGATCCCAAATATCTAATGTGAACTACAAGATAATTCATTGATTCATTAAAAAAATATTGTCTATTACATATTTTAGGCTTGGAAAATTCAGCAGTGAAGGGGTGGGGCAAAGCCTAAATTCACAAGGAACTTAAGCCTGGGGGCAGGTCAGTGGGAACTGACAGATTAAACAAATATTATAATCAATAAACAGCATAAACTACAAAATAGACAAGATAAATTCCAATGTGGTGAGTGTTGTGAAGAAAATAAAATGGAGCCCGGCCGGGCGTGGCTCAGCGGTTGAGCGTCGACCTAGGATCCAAGCGATCGGGGTTCGATTCCAGGTGAGGGCACATGCCCGGGTTGCGGGCTGGACCAATGACTCTCTCATCATTGGTGTTTCTATCTCTCTCTCTCCCTCTCCTGTCCTCTCTCTGAAATCAATAAAGATATATATAAAAAAAAAAAAAAAGAAAGAAAGAAAATAAAATGGAATTATTTTCTATAGAAAATGACCTTATTCTTTCACTTCCCCAGGCTTCATTTTCTCACCCCAGCAAATTTATACAGGTTATTCCCGTTCCCAGGGCTCCTCCCTCATCTGCCATTCCTTCCTAACCTTCATCCTTCTTTCAGCTCAGGTCTCAGCTAAAAATGGCAACTTCTCTAGGTTAAATGTTCCTTTTATATACCTCTCCCATTGTATCCACATGTCTCCTTTGTAATAATTAATGTTCATTACATTTATAACTATTTGTTCAATGTTTGTCTTGCCACAAGGGCAGAGTCTTCCTGTCTGTGGTCTACCTATCTATTCCCAGTCACCAGCACATAGTAGATGATCAATACATTTTGTTGAATAAATGAACAAAAGAAAAACTGGAAAATTCTTTTACTTTTATCCTGTTAAGGGATATTTCACCAGGAAGGGGTACAAATCATTTGAACATCACAAATATGTAAAAAGCACATTGGTAAGAAATTCAATTAGGCTGCAAGAAGACTGAATGAGAATTATTCAGTGGTTTCTTCCTTGGGTTCTAGGTGGCACTGAATGCCAAAATGGAATAAATTGTTTTGAGAAGTAATTTCCTAGATATAGTAAGCAGCTACTTGATTATAAATGAGCATAAAAAAATATATGGAAGAGGTAAGAAAGAGAAGGAAAAAGAAGAAAGAAGAAAAAGAAAGAAGGAAAAAAGAAGAAAGAAAAAATGAGAAGAAGAAAGAAAGAAAGAAAGAAAGAAAGAAAGAAAGAAAGAAAGANAGATAGACTTTTCTTTCAAAATGAAAATGACCCCTCCTCCCAATTCCAAGTAAAATGCATGCACATTGTAAAATATTCAAGACAATACAGAAAGAGGTAAAGAAGAAAATTAAAATGACTAATAATCCCTTCACATTTTATTTGCATGTATATTCATCTGGATTTTTATGCACATTTATACAATCTTTTAATATAAAAATAGAATCATACATGCAATTTTGTACACTGCTTTTTTTTCCATTAAAAATATACCTGAACATATTTAGATCTAGCTACTCATTTTTAATGGCCATGTAAGAGTTTGTTCTGTAGATGTACTGTAAAATATTTAACTAATTATTTTTGAACATTTTTCTGATTTTCCAGTATTTCAATGATTAACATTACATACATCTTTGTCCACTTCTTTTCCTTAAGATACATTTCTGCATGTATCTTGTTAGTCAAACAGTATGGATATTTGAGGCTTTTGATACATACTGTCAAATTGTCTTTAAAATGGTATATCAATTTGTAACAATAGCATACAAGTGTTACTGTTAAAATTGCTATGAAATTCTCATTTAATAGGATTTTCATCAACATTTAATGTTATCAAAATTTTAATCTTTGATATTCTGAGGGGCAAAAAAGAGAAATCTTGTTTTAATTTTTATTTCTGATTACTAGTGAAGTTGAACATTTGAATTGCTTATCCATGTCCTTCTCACATTTTTAAATTGTGGTATTTGTTTTTTAAAATCAATTTATAATAGCTCTTTATGGACTAGTGATATTAGCCAGATATGTTTATCATATATTTAGCATTTTTGTCTATTTGTTATTTGTCTTTTAATTTTATTATAAACTAGTATTACCCTGTAGCTGTCATATGTCAAGTTGAAATTATTTTCTTTCAGTTTGCTATTTGTCTTTTAACTTTACTAACTTTGTGTTTTGACATTCAAGAAGCTTTACGTTTATTTATGAAGTCGTATTTAATAATATTTCCATTTATGGATTTTGTGTCATATTTAGAAAGTTCTACATCCCCAAGGCTATACACATAACATATTCACTTACATTTTCTTCTACTTCTTTTATGATTTTATATTTTATGTTAAACCACATTTGCCTTAAGAATATGTAAAGGAGTGGATAATGTTATCATAAGCTCAATATCAGGCTTAATAGCATTGCAGGTCACTGAAGAATTCCTTTTACATATTCTAGGTAAAAGTTCTAGTATGTGGTAATGTAATACGGGACAAAAACTGAGTAGAGACACAGCACCTAAATCATATACACATACTGTCAAAAATGACAAGATCAAGCCTTCTGTGAAGCTGAGCAAGGAAGAGCTTATGAGGGATATTGGGGTAACTGCTTGGAGTAAAATACTTACATTCCAGGCTGATGAAATGGCCTTCATGCTGAGGGAAGCGTTCTCTCAAAAAATATTTGAGGGCCTACTATAAGCTGACTGGGAATATAACAGTGAACAAAACAAAGAGGTTCACTGCTCTTATGGGTTGGGGTAAGCAAATAATATATTTTAAGATTAAGTGCTTTAAAGAAAGTTAAGCAGTCAAGGAGATGGGGAAATTGATATTTTAAATAGGGTGGTTAGGGAGTCTTTTCTGGGTAACAGGCAATTGAGAAGAGGCTTGTATGATAGGAAAGATAGGAAGAAAAATATTACAACCTATGTAAAATGGTATAGGTGGGAACAAGGTTGTTTTGTCGAAAAAATTGGAAGAAAGCTAGTGTAGCTGGAGTGTTACTTGAAAACACAGAAAACAGAAAAATGGAAAAGGAAACATGGAAACACCTTAAAAACTTGGGTAAGTTTGTTTTTCTTTAACTGTGAAAATGGGAGTTAGATTCTGTGTGACTTATTCCCAATTTTCGTACAGCATTCCCTGCTAAGAAAGGCCTTTCTTAACTGCCCGTTTACAAATTCCAACATTATCAGATTTTCCCACCCTTTTACAATCACCGCCCCTTTCTAAGTATTTCAGAGAGTTACCTTCTGAGAGCCCATTTCTGACCATTCTTTTAGAAATTGCAGCTTTATTCTGATTTATTCTGTCAATGAGAACTGGTATTTTGGACTGTTTTTATCTCCACCATATCCCCAATAGGTACAACAGTGCTTAACATACAGTTGGCGCTGTATATGTATATGATGTACATGTACATGTATATATATATAAAAAATAAACGGTAGGATTATGAATGAACTAATCGTGTGCAGCGACCTCAGGTCAAACTAATACCACATTTTTCGCTCTCTGGAAAAACGGCTTGAAGCAGTCAGAAGGTGACGTGATTTAGTTTTCAAAATGGGAAAGCAAAGGTTCCCACAATTCTCAGTACGCGAATTTCTCGCCACAATTCAAAATGGCGGAGGAAGGTGGGGCTTGTGACATGGTGGGCGTCAGAGCTGCTTTCCTTTTCCAGACCGCAGCCCGCCTTACCGCGTTGTCGGCTGTCACCCCTCCTCCTCCCGCCAACCCTTTTCGAGGAATCGCCTGGGATTGGCTAATAGTCTGGGGGAGCTGCGGGACCCGGAGAAGGCATCATCACTTCCTGTTGTGGGCAGTCGTTTCCTGTCGCTGCTTGGTAACAATGGGGGAGATAATGGCTGCCTGAGCAACGTTTCCCTAGCAGGCGCTGGGCTAGAGGCGGG